TGCGCGTGAGGTCGGGTGCAGCGATTACAGAGTGGGAGAGAGTGCGAATATATACAGATCTCTCTCGCTCCATTTCCCACTGGCGTAGTACGAGGGGCACGGGAAAGCATGAGAAAAGGATTTTTTTTTCAATTCATAGTTATTGAAATATGATGGATAGAAAAAAAAATTCAAACAAAATGTATTGGAAACAGATGGAAGAACCACATTAGAAATTGAAAAATAATGACTAATGAATTTTGAGGATAATTTTCCGGCATGTTCAATTAATTATCTTTTATTAATTGAGATAATTTCTTGGGGAAAGGAAAAAAAATTGGAATAGAAGATTCAGTTTTGCTTCCGAATGAAAGTTTTGTAATCGGGAGATTTTTCGATTCGCTAATTTTGCTTGGAAATGATGTGGAATGGTCTGATACGTAGAAATACAAAATTTGAGGACCATGTATGTATGTTGTCCCATATTCATGTATAAAATTTCATGTTCATCGATTCAGTACATCCTGGCATAGAGTAATGCATCCAAAATGCTTTTTTTCTGAAAAATCGCATATCGTTTTTTTATCAATGTTTTCCATCTCTTCATGACTTGAAAAGTCATATAATACAAATCCATGTTTTTTTAATACTTCATATAATCTAATATTTGATGGATATTTGATAGCCATAGCTGTGGCAGAGACAGAGATTGGCGTGGTCTAATTTTTTAACACGTAAATTTTATATTAATTTTCATTAATCAAAGTACGGTCATTAGTCAGTATTACATTTCATGTAAATATTACGTTGATACTCGTGCCTACGTTGAATGGAGCTAGCACTTCTGTCCATGAGATGAATCTAATTGTACGCGTTCCAAGAATCAAACGTTTTGAGAAAGATAGGCAGCAAGGATAAGACGTTTCTTCTTCTATTCTATATGGCCATATCCTAAACTCTATAAGAGCCCCAAGCACCACAAGGAAGCCATTTGTAGAAGGATGTCTTCACAGGTTATTTTCATCCTAAATGACATCCCATTGCACGTTGCTCGAGGTGTAAATTCAGCTGAATTCTGTTGTTCTTTTCAAATCTCTCTTTACTAATTGTCAGCTATCCTAAGATGGAACATATGGCTGAGTCTGTGGACGAATATAATAATTGTTAACTATCCTAGACGAAATATATGACTAAATTTATAGAATAATATATTATTTTATCAACTTCAAGTTTTACTCTCTGAGGGTCGAATGTGTTTGATTTCATACATGTCAAGATCGGATCCTTTTAGTCAGAAGCTTCTAAGGTTAGATGTACTGAGGGTTACGTTTCTCTTTCCAAATTCCGACTCACACTCCTGGCATCCGTCACTCAAATTGTGGTTCCTTTTTCATCAAGATAAAATACTCGTTCATGTCCAATACTATGTAAGCCTGTGGAAAAATCTAGCAAAAACCAATTCAACGTTTCAAAATTGGAAATGACGGCCATGAAATGGGAAGCCCACTTTGGCCTTTGGTGGAAAATTTTGTTTTGGTCCAATGTATTCACTGAAATTTTTTGAAAAATATAAAAAGGGTCCAACTTTGAAAACTACTCGTTTTTTGAAGTTTTTTGAGGTTTTTCTGAGGAAATCGATGGAAGAACGAATTGAACAAAATTGGCATATTTTTATATGGAAAGTGTGTTCAAAGACGCACATTTTGTAAAAAAAACTCAAATCGGTTGATTTTTACGGAAGTTACAGACATTTAAAAATAAAACTTGCCAAAAAACATGGCTGTTCACAGGATGCCTCAAAAAATCTGAAAAAATTTGAGAAGTCATATTTTTCCATATACAACCACAGGAAATATGGTTGCGATGGTTCGGCAATATGATTGGCGATGGTGAGGGTTTTGACCTGGGTGAGTTCACATGGAATACCCCATACGTGGGTAATTGTTGGGTTTATGAAATTGACTATTCCAGCTAAAGAATATGTTGAATGGCTCACATTCAAAACCTCAGGGAAAGCATGCAGTGGCACTAGCAAATTATGATACGAAGGACATTCGATGAGAAGGTGTTCATGAAATTCAACAGATTGATGAACATATGCATGACCTTGCATTTCACATTCTGGAACTTTAAATTCGATAGTTTGGAGAGTTGCAAGTAAAACAGATAAAAAATCTTTGTAAGTGTATTGGAACATTGCATCAATGTTTATTTTGATCATGGCTTCACTGATAGTTATACTGCCACTTGCAGGACAATTGATATGGGTTGTATATCTTGGTACTGATTAAAATATTTTTGTGCATAAATTTACTACATTCATGGCTGCATTCAAAACGATATGATTTTCATATGAATTGTTAATATCAAGAAAAAATTCTCTGTGTTCCAAAAAAATGTTCAATCTCCTTTCATTAAGACGAGATCGTGCGCGCGCTGTCGTGCGCTTATGTGTTATCAAATTATCTGTATGAAATTGACATTATTTTTATTATTCATATGTATTTTTTCTGGAATTAAATAATTCTTTCTGGATTTGGAACAAATCAATTTTTTTTCTAAATTGAAAATCCTATTCATAGATAAATAAAAAGCTGATGAGTAATTTGATCTTAATTTGATTGGTCAATGGATCGCGTGAAGTTAGTCGCTAAAATAATACGCGGTATTTTCAAATTCTTTAAAATCAGGAATCATTATTTTGGTAATAATTATTAATTTTCTCATGTTTATCGTTCGCGAAATCAAGTGTTATGAAATATAATAGATTTCATTTTCATATTATCGAAATGTAGATATTTTGTTTATCAATTAAATAATTCTTTATAGACATAATTTTTAATACTATTATTCGAACGTTGTTGTCCTAGAAAAATTCGTAATGAATCCCAAGATCGAACTCGTGAAAATGCTACGTATAATTGACCATGATTAAATATATCTCTACGAAGATCTATTCCAATTTTGTCAAAAGTTTGTCCTTGACTTTTGTTAATTGTCATTGCGAAAGCTAATTTGATCGGAAATTGATGTCTTTTAAAAGTGAATGGATGAATATTTTCACAATACAAAGTAATAGGATGGATGAAAACTATTTCCCCTGCTGTCTCCAGTTAAAATTCGACAACGTAAGAGATTATTCGCCAGTTCTAATATTTGTAATCTTGTCCCGTTGCAAAGACCTTCATTGATACTAAGATTACGGATCAACATAAGAATATAATTAGCTTTCAGTTTCAATTCATACGGTGGGAAACCTGAAGGATTCAATGTATTTAAGAATTCTGGTAAGATTGAATCATCTATATCATCATTACAGTTTTCTGTACTGTCAATACTGGTATAGATCCGTTCAGTAGTTTCATTTAATAGATTTACAGGTCGTCTATTGATTTCTCCAACATCTATATTACGTGCTGATAGTATAGCTACTTTTGCAAAGTTATTGTATCGTTTTTGATTTATAATTTTTTCGAATGTATTTTTTACAATATCATCACCTTTATTAGCTATACATTGTTCTGGAACTTCAATATTATCATTGTTATCATTTAAATCTCCATTTCGAAAAGATATTAAAAGAGTTTTTGCAAACTCTGATTCTTGAGGAAGAGTGCGCATATTATCTGTTAGAGAAAATATTGAGAAATTTTTCCATAGAGCACTAAATTTGATAGATAAATTGACTAATTCACTACGCGTTGCATTCGGTTTGACCAATTCCGGGGGGGGGGGGACCAACATATCAATTATCTGTTTGATCATCATTGGGGCGAGTGTACACACCTGTTACGTCGACGATACGTAGGATATCCATCTTCATCCATTGATGTTTGTTCTTGAAAATTTTTGGGGATTTTTTTTGAACATCTACCTTCATCATTTTTGCACCAATCACCACATGGTCCATGTATCATATGTTTTAGTACTATATCACAAAGGGTTTTATCCTCTTCAAGATTTGGAATTTCAGCTGAAATATATTTATCAACTATGTCAGGAGTAGTTATTTTATAATCTTGTTTCGATGGCAATAATAGATGTACGTGAGGTAATCCACGTTTTTGATATTCAGTCACATAAACATATTCGAGTATTTCTCGAAATAATTTTTCTTTTGTGATTATTTTCGTGTCGTGATTACAATAACTTCCCGATCCCGGGAAGTTAACAAACTTAGAGAAGTTGAGCGAAGAAAAATCTATAGAAAATATCTCAATAGAATAAGTTGTCTGGAAAAATCGACTTCTATTGACTTTTTCTATTGAACATTTCAATAGAATCGCCCAAAGATTAAGAGAAAGTTCAATAGAAATCCAATAGAATTGTCCAACGAAATCGCTAGATTTTTCTATTAAATTTTTTCATCCGTGATTTGTTATCTTATAATCTTGTTTCAATGTCAATAATAGATGTACGTGAAGTAATCCACGTTTTTGATATTCAGTCACATAAACATATTCGAGTATTTCTCGAAATAATTTTTCTTTTGTGATTATTTTCATTAATTTATTTTCCTTGATTTTCGAGGTGATTACAATAACTTCCCTATCCCGGGAAGTTAACAAACTTAGTGAAGTTGAGCGAAAAAAATCTATAAAAAATATCTCAATAGAATAAATTGTAGGGAAAAATTGAATTCTATTGACTTTTTCTATTAAACATTTCAATAGAATCGCCCAAAGATTAAGAGAAAGTTCAATAAAAATCCAATAGAATTGTCCAACGAAATCGCAAAATTTTTCTATTAAATTTTTCATCCGTGATTTGTTGTTGTCAAATAAAAAAAGATGTCACTCCTGAGTAGGGCGTCTCGAATCACTTGGAGCTAGAAAATGAACCAAACCGCTTAGGAACCCCTTGGAATTATCCGAGAGCCCCGCAACAGGGCCAAAGTATTCTTCATATGAAACCCAGCAATTGTTATGTACGCCAACGACGGAGGCTCCTAAGCTTCTGTCAAGAACATACTATATTGTCTCACACAATTTCATACACATTCTTATTTTTATTTTTCACAGCCGCAGGGGACGAAGAGATAAAGAAACTCGGCTTTGAGGAACAAAGAATGTACATAAACTACTTGAATGAACTAGATAACGACCTTCTGGAGATAATCCTGGACAACCTAGGTCGCGACAAATGCAGAAACGTCGTTTTTGAGGTAACAGCAGGAGTGGGAGGTTCAGAAGCTATGATCTTCGCAGCCGATCTCTTCGCAATGTATCAGCGTTATTTTGATCGTCTGGGGTACTCTCAAGAGTCTATTGAAATTAACGCAGAGGCAGGAGTGGGTGGGATACGTTACGCGAGTGTCCTCGTCTCCGGAGAACGAGTGTTTGAGATTCTTAGACACGAGGGAGGTGTTCACAGAGTTCAAAGGATTCCCTCCACCGAAAAAAATGGGAGAATACACACGAGCACCGCTGCAGTTGCTGTTCTCCCTCAATTAACTGATATAGAAATCACTATTAAGGACAACGATTTGAAGATCGAAACGAAAAAGGCGACTGGGGCTGGTGGACAACACGTCAACACCACTGACTCTGCCGTGAGGATCACTCACATCCCTACTGGTATCGTAGTCGAGGCACAGACAGACCGTTCACAGATCAGGAATAGAAAAATTGCGATGATGAAACTTAGAGCAAAAATCTATGAGCAACAGCTGAGCGAACAGAAGGCAGAGACAGGATCTATGAGGAAGAAGCAGAAGGGGTTGAGTATGAGGAATGAGAAAATCAGGACTTATAATTATAGCCAGGATCGCATCACTGATCATAGGATTGCTGATGGGACTCTGCATAATTTGAAGGGATTTATGGCTACTGGGGAGAGGCTAGAAGAGCTTCAAGGAAAGCTACAACGACAGCTGCAGTTAAAAATACTTCAGGAGGCTATTGAGAGGTGGAAATAAGGAGAGATAAACACTAGAAAATGGATTATACATCAAGACAAGAATAATTAAATTATATTCAGCAGTGGGATAGTAAGACAAATGTACACGGATAAAAAGGAAACTGAGAAAGACCTGAGATCTCAGAACTTTTACCTGAGATCCACTGGTGGAGCGCACATTGATTGGTAAAAAGTGGCGTTTTCACTGAGACACCCAGTAAAAACGCCAGTTTTCTCAGTGAAAACTCCGGTTTTGCCAGTCGAGGTGCACCCTATGGGTGGATATTACGCGAAACGCCATTCTTTTTTTCTGTATACGGATCATTGTGAAGAATTTTTTAGCGAGATTTGTGTGGCACCAAAACAGACAACATGAGATTTTTCTCTGAAATACATTTTTGCAATTGTCTCTTTCTATTACTTCCGTAGAAAGTTTTATGGAATCGATTTTTAGTTTTTCCTGTGTCCCGTACGAATCTATTGAGACACATTTAAAATGTAAACTTTAATAGTATATTCATAGTTGAACCAAGCACATTCTCCAATTGTGGACGCAATAAATAGCTGTGATGCCGGATGGGCATCGCCTGCACTAAGAAAAATGGCCGTCCGATGGTTTATCGTTGCCGCTTCATTCAATTACTTCACGAGTCCTCAAGTTGCTCTAGAAAATAACAATATCGGCACTTTGAGGACAATAATAAAAAATAATACAGAAATAAATGAGTTGACGAGGATCTACAGGGTATCCCAGAGCATGTGACCAAAGTAAATTGCATAGAATACCGCAAGGTGGCAGTGCAGTCTAAAGTCTAATATATGGTTGAAGTGGAGACTCTCCGCAAATTTCATTCATGCTTCAGTCGCTCGGAAATTGCAGCACTAAAATGGAAAATTTAACCATCGAACAAAAATCATTCCTCATCAAATCATATTACCGAAAAGGAGATTCAGCTACTGCAGCTATAAGAGCATTTCATTCTAAGTATGGCACACACACTGGAGTGTCTGATTCGAGTCTCAAACGGTAAATAAAGTGAATGAACTAACTAATCAAAAACTTTTGTTTTCTTCTTTTATTGAAAATGGACGCATTTTTCGACCAATTATGGGTATTTTCAGGATAATTAAGGAATTTGATCAGTACGGTACACTAGACGATAGAAGGCATGAGCATCTTGGTCCTTCACGTACTGTAACCACGGATGAAGTTGTCCGCACAACTGAAGAACATTTCAAAAAATGTCCAAATGATACTCTTCGAAAGGCTTCTCAAACCTTGAAAGTCCAAAAACTTCACTTCACCGCATCTGGAAAGCGTTGTTAAACTTCCATCCCTACAAAATTTCAGTACATCAAATTTTAAGTGAGGAGGCGATGGCTCGCCGTGTGCAATTTTGCCAAGAACTTCACTTTTTTTTTTAATCCAAGGAAATAAAGGCACAGAATATCATCTTCTCGGACGAAGCACATTTCTACTTAGGTGGCTTAGTAAATAAACAAAATTTTCGCTTTTGGGGGACTGAGTCACCTCACGCTATTGAAACTAAGTCCTCACACCCGAAAAAAGTCACTGCATGGGCGGCAATTACAATAAAAGGTATTTTCCTTGAATTTATTGTGAGTCCGACAATCAGTGCTGATATTTACTGTGAGTTCTTGAAGAAGAACTTCTTTCCTTGGGCACGAAAAAATCGGTTAGTCAAGAATTTCTACTTCATGCAAGATGATGTCGGCCCACACAAGACTGCTGGAGTATTTGAAATACTTTTTTCCGTTTACGGCACTCGTGTGTTAGGCTTAGGTTACCCTAAGTATGCCCATGGGGGCATGAAATGGCCGCCTTACAGTCCGGACTTAAATCTCTGTGATTTTTGCCTATGGGGTTTTCTTAACGACAAGTGCTATGAGAAGCATCCGACGACGGTGGGAGAATTGCAAGACGCAATTAGGGATGCTATCAGAGCTGTTGATAAAAACACAATACAGCGCATATATACCAGTTTCGAACGCAGGATAGAGTTTTGTAGTACAAGTGATGGCGGGCACTTGGAAGGAATTGCATTGTAATTTGCCGAATGTTCCTTGTACAATAAAAAAAGAACAATTATTCACATTTTACTGTGTCCAAGTTATTTGCAATTTACTTCGGTCACATGCTATGGGACACCCTGTACTACTGTCAGTTACAATGCACGGGTTTAAACAAGTTTGAATGAGTAAACCATCGGCTTTCCATGTTATCAGAGCAATCACCACGCCGGCATCGGTAGATAGTAGTCCCAATACTTTACAATAGAAAGAACTTGAAATTCATAAGTCGATTTCAAAATTCATATCAAAACTTCAATTGTAAACTTTTAAAATTTTTAGTTGGAATCTTCCTAGATATCTGTTGGAACTGAAAGTAATACGGTGTAATACGAATTCTTCATTCAATCGAACGTTCCCGAGATTTATTTGTTGATGTACTCTCAGACCAGGAGAAGAGTTCCAGGAAGAACTCAAGAAGGTTTTCAGGAGTGGGAGATGTAGATGTGAGTGATTAAGTAGAGTAAGGATATGGATGGAGGGCACAATCTAATTAGTGTGGCACGACTGTAAGGCTACGGACTCTTGTCTACACCAGGTGCAGACATTTCATCTAGGAAAAAATAGTTCCCGCAAAAATCTCGCTTTGCTCGCTCCCGGTTTGGGGTATGACTGGTAGGTTGGTGGATTTGGGCATGACCCACTATTGGTCTAACCACTAACTTCTCCACCGATTCCCTTTCTGTTGATTAGAAAAAGAAAGCAGTTTTTGAAAATTTCATCTGCATAATTGAATATTCGCTTAGTCGATTTTATTTAACATTCAATAAGGATCAAGTTACATGTGCAGCTGTTCATCCCAAACGAAAAAGTTCATATCTCATCTGTTAAAAATGTTGATAATTCCGATGATTCCCAGAATGGCGACAGAGGGGAAAGTGCAGGAATATTTTAGGAGATTTGTTGTAGAAAAAAAAACTGTATATTGGGCACGGAACACTAGGGAGGTGTTCCCCTCCGATTTTGATCAAACTCATATGTTGTAGAGGACTCAAAACTAAAGGACACGTATTTTTTTTATCGGCTAATACGCGGCTTTAGGGGGGGGGGGACCATGGTCAGAAGGTGATCATGGGGGGGACCACCTTCGGGGGTGATCTTTCAATCTCATCTATAAGGAGGGTGTTTTTACAAATATTCATCACGGTAATGAATAGCTTGTGAGAAGTTATAAAAATCACAATTGATAGTTCCTCCGGGGGTTGAAATAGGGGGGGGGGG